AAAGAAGGTAGATAGCTGTGACGTTTTGGTTTCACATGAAACCATAGCCTGCAGTACCGCACTAATACGGACAGCCTGGCAAACATCAGCCATGGACACTGCAGCTTCATTTACCAAAGTGGGGAAGCTGTGGCTGAAATACATGTATTAATCCTTTAGCCTTTTCAGACTTGCCACAGAGTCTCTAATAGCTACCCACTGGAAACTGGCAGGAAGGTCATTTCTCACCTCCCTTCCGGCATTTATATCCTATTAACATTTTCAAGTTGTGCGAAGAGCCTGCCTTTGGTAAGGAGGAAAATGTGATTTTAAAGTGATAGGCACAGACCATCCTCAGTCACAGAAATGGAAAAGGAACTGTTGGTAAACTCTCTTACCCCCAAAGGAAAACCTTTTGGAGCAAGTGGAGGCATCACCCTTCCCCCTGAAGCTGGATGCATGTTCTACTGGAATGCAACACAGTAAGTCAAGCAAAGTCTCTTCTCTACCTCAAGTCCCTCAATAAACCCTACAAACAACCACCACCACTAAAACCCACAGTAGCAGCCTAACTCCTCTGTCTGCATTTTGGGGAGATGCAGCAGTGGAGATGGAATAACAGGCTTGCCTCCTCTTACTTGGTGGCAGACTCGAGACCCAAAAGGGCGCCTCAGAGTTGGCACTATTTGTAGATAAACTCCCTAGGGAGCTACTGTGACAGTACAGATGGAAAGCCTTTGGAAAGCCTTTAGTAATTGCAATCTATTGATTAGAGACACTACTTTGGAAACCCCCAGCTCTTTCAGAGCTACAGAAAACTCTGTATACACACACACTCCTTCCATATAGTTTATGCTCCTGCTGGAGATCTGAGAACGTTCAACTTTAATTTACTGTGACCATGAGAAAGCCACAGTATCTGTGTCTCTAGTGTAGAAGTATGAGGATTAGCATGTCCTAGATCTCAGATTTTCTTATGTACTGATCATCGCAGTAGCATTCCAGCTACAGGAGTTTTGAACTCAGAATAACTGTGATCCAAGTCTTTCCTCCAAATTCCTAAAAAACCCTAAGAAAACAACCTCCCAAACCCCCAAATCAGTCCCTGATGCTATCTTCAAGAAGACTTGCTCTTTCCAGCACTAGTAAAAAAGAAATCTCTGTAAGAAACTCAGCATCATCTCCAACTCACCTCCTCCAGAGCAATTCCTGTTCCTCATACCAGACACTGACAGATCTCCCAGTTATCATACCAGATTGCAACAACCCTCCCCTAACACTAGGAGCAGTACTGATAAAGAGGCAGTTAGTTAGCTTGACGGCACACTCGGAAGAATGAGAAAATCAGCTTTTCATGTTGGACAAAGAGCACTCTCCAGAGACCTTTGGTCTCTGCAACAGCAACTGTCCCCACAGGGGGCTCAGGCCACCCCTGAACAGTCTGGCAGCTGTAAGAGAGTTTTCCGAGATGCCCCAGGCTCATGGTTCCCTGTTGAAAATCCTGGCCAAGAGTCACCCTGGTCAGAAAAGGATGCAGGTTTTAACCTCTTTTTCTGAATGGTGCTGCGCAAGAGAAGCTTGCCCCTCCACCCCTGTCTGCTGTGCCCATTCAACCTGACTTGCTGACAAGGAGCCAAGGAGCACAACAAAAAAGAAACTGGACTTTATGTGAGAGGCTATGACTCATTTACAAATGAAGTGTTGCACTTATTGTGGGAGTCAGGAAGGGCAGCATCAATTTAACAGGTAAAGAGTAGAGGCAGCACAGCTAGACTTACCCAGAGAAGAGATGAGCAGAAAAGAGTGTTTCCACTCCACAAAAAGTCTGGCTATTGCAAAAAGTTTTGCCCACATGCAAAAGAACAGCAAATAAGAGCTCTCGAGGGTCTTTTCCTCCCTTCACTTAATAAAGTGAGGGAGACAAAAAATTACTTTCTATGGAGAAGATGGGCACTTGAAAGTGTAACAACGTTGGTATTTTCTAACCCAAAAAAGCAACCAAAACTCCTTCCCTCCTCAGCTCAGCTGAATGTCTAAGGACCTGGCTGCTCCGAGGTGGCAAAATGGATCAGAAATTTCATCCTCTGCTGGAACGGTAATAAGCACTCCTATGGCACAGTATTCCCCTTGACAAAACCATTTCGTTAGACTTTTTCCTCCAAAAGGTCTTTTTAAAGTCTGGATTAAAAAAATACAGTTAAATAAGAGCCAGAACAAGGCAGAGGGGGAGAAAGAGGAGAGGATGTATGTAGTATGTGCCTATACATTTTTTTCCCCTGCTCAGATACTGCTAGACTAACTTCTCTCTCTCATGCACCAAGCATTTTTGATGCAGATGCAGTAATACTTGGGGAGGTTCCTGCAGGACCTTCACACACTATGTTGATTCTTTAACAGCACATTCATAACCTTCTGTTAAGCCTACAACTTCTCTCTCTGATCCCCCACTCTGTGCGATGCTCCAGGGATACCACCATGCTGGCTACTAGGGGCACATAAGAAATCTCATTCTTTGCTGTTTTGGGCATGTATCTGTCACTACTTAGATACTGTACCACAAAAAAAAGCAAAAAAAATTAAAGAACTGTGCAAAAACAGAGGAAGATGGATTTGTATTATCATGCAGCTGGCATGGAAGAACAGACACGGTACCACCACAAGCAAGGCCTGCACAGACCTGGCCAGCAGGTCCTTGCTCCGGGATCCTGAGGCAGAAGCAGTTTTGATGCGAGCGACATTCAGCACTGGCAGGCCATTGGACCTCATGCTACAGCTAAGGTTGAGATGCCTATGAAAGAATTTACTTCACACTTTCTTAGACTAGAAATACCTGTTTTGGAAGGAGGTACTCGGTGGGCAAAACAAACCTCTTCCTTGTGAGTGTGTCATAGCACCAGATAACAAATTTAATAAATAAAACACTTTGCATTTATCCTCATCTGACTACTTGCACATTCATGCTTTCCACTGCAGCAACAGGATTCACTATTACAGTCTGTTACAGCAACAAGAAGAGTTTACTTACTGCAAAAAATTGGTGGCACAGTCCTGCCAACCACAACCTTCCTTTAGCAAAACTAGCCCATTCCAGTGCGCTCAGGAATTTGCCTGTCATGGGTCTGGGGTCACTTGTTGCAGTGCCACCAAGCTCAGTGACAGGTTTCTGCCTGTCCCACCCAGCTGCTGCGGTGCAGGCCTACACAAGAAGAGTTTTACAGAGCAGACAGGAACCTATCAGATGGGAAGAATTTTTAACAGGAAGATTTTCCTTGCGTAAACTTAGGTCTTTCTTAATGCAGTCCATCCTGGTCAACTTCAAGCAACATCTCATTAAAAGAAAAATTTAAAACCAAACAATTTTCTCATCAGAAGGTTCTGATCTGTACTTCTTTTGGGCAAGTCACTGGAGCCTGGCAATTCCAGCAAATTTGCTACTAAGGCATGGTAAGAGTTGCTGTACAGGGAAACATGCACAAGCAAAGGTGACTGCAACAGCCTCTGACAGGCCTGGAGTCAAGTCCAGGGAAAGCCTCCCTTTCCTGCTCCTGGGAGAGGACAAGGAGACGTCTAGCAAGTAAAAAGCCGAACATAGCCTGCAAGCAGTCCTTCAGCAAGCAGCCCGGGCTGAGGACCTGGACACAAGTGTCTGAACACCCCAGACTCCCAGCACTGGAATTCACCCTTGGATGCTGACAGTGGCATCAGCTGCAACTCAGCAGCTGCCCTGCCTTCCTCACGGCAGACAGAGTAATAACCCAGTCTGGCAAACATGTGGCTCGCAACACCACTGGTCAGATGAGTCACACGTGTGATTTATTCAATGCCCAAAGCCAGTATCTCCTCTGAATGTCTTTGTGTCTTTCCCTTCTCATTTTATGTCTCTCTCTCCAACTCTCCCCAGTTCCAATCAAGTTAAGTTAAATAAACATGGAATCAGAAAACTGCATTCCCTCCTGTTTCTCCTCTGTTTTCACATAACTGTTTAACCTGGACAATATGATACAGAAAAGGTAAAGCTGCAAGCAGCTATTGCTTCCTTTGTGCGGCATTATGTTATCTTTCCTTTGTCACCAAAATCACCCCTTTCATTCCACCCAAAGCACACTGTATGGAAAACGACTGGTAATAATCAAGGAAACAAGATCTCTTCCCTCCCACACGGAACCAGTCTGTAACCATCGCTCTTGTCATTTTGCTTATAAGCTATATTCCTTTCCCCCACCCGTCTTGCAGTTTCTTTGTAGGTTGTGAACTCTTTGATATGGGGACTAAAGCTATGTGGGAATTCACAAAGTCTTAATCAGCTCTGAGGTGTTCCACCCATGCAAATAAATGAATACTGAATCGGGGGATGAGAGAGGGGAAGGAACATCCATGTGATTTAACATTTTATTTCCCCAGTTGACAACTGTACCTATTGCGACAACCCTACAAAGGTATGAACTACATGTAGCAGGAACTACATTTGGCAACTTGGGCTATCCCAGATCTACAATGCAGTTAGTTGTCTACAGTACAAGGAAGTACTGGTGTTATGTATTTAAACAAGATCAATTATTCCAAAGAGACATCTTCACAGCAGCACTCGGATACTTAACTATATAACATCCAGCACCACCACAGATGCTCCAATACAACCACTTGCACCCCTGACTCTGAAGCTCCTGTACTTGTCTATGTATTTTTGTCCTCTGAGAAAAATCCACCTCATTTGTCAAAATACTATTACTACTAATAATAATAAAACAAAAAACCCCAATACTTCTGGATATCAGTAACAACTCTTGATAATATGTGAAGAGAGCTGGATGACCTTTCGCAGTTCTGACTTCCTTCTACAACTTAAGCATCCTAGTAGTTGTAGTGAGTTTGTCTATCATGCCATATTTGTAGACCACAGATAATCCACATTTTCTGCCCAAGTAAGTGCCTTTAGTCAGCTTGCAAGTCCTTCCAAGGACACAAAACAGCCCCCTATCCTGTAATCCTTTCCAAACTCCTGGGTCACGATCAGCACTCACCTGTGCATGTTTCCATTGGTGGTGAAGGACTGTCCACATACTGAACATTTATAAGGCCTTTCACCTGAGTGCACCAGCATGTGGCGATCAAGGGAGCTCGCTGAGCTCAGAGACTTTCCACAGATGCTGCAGGAATGGTCTGTCCCTCCAGTGTCAGTGTTATGCTAGAGAAAGCAACGATTTTTTTCATTGAATGCCCCTTCTCAAGTGTCAGTAAAATATCAGCAAGAACTGTAACATCTTAAAAGCAGCTTTAAAGAGCCACTCAGCACAACACCTTATATTAAGGTGTGCCCTGTACATACTTCTCCTCCCCAGCCCTCCCCCTTAACTCTACCCCCACCCTTCGTTTTTAACTACTTAATGCACCAGCACAAGTAGCTGTTTCATACAGCCTGCAGTGCCTGCCACATGCAGCATTTCTACTGGGTGTGCAGCAGAAGAGGACAGAAAGTGACAAATGGTACCTTGGGATACTTTAAGCTGTGCAGTGGTTTGGGGTTGGATGAATGGTAAGGGGGGAAACACAAAGAGGATGTAACTACAAACTTCATCGTGGAAGAAAGACACTTAAAAACAAATACTCTTTAAAGACATTAATTTTGAACTGACTGTGTAGTAAGAAAACAGAAGTAAACTGCTTCTGAGGGCACATGCAGACTTCTACTGCCATAAGAAAGCATTACAAGGCCAAAATATGGCCACTAGCTACTGCGCTGTATGTACCACTCTTTCTTACTTGCATTCAGACATGTGAAGATTTCTTCACATACCAAAAAAAAAAACCCCGCCAGAAGAGTAAGGGGAAAAAAAAAATTAAGTAACAGCTACAGTACAGGAGGGAAAACTGAAGTAATAAGTATCTAGTGGACTCACAGTGGCGAACCACAACCCTAGCATCCAAAGCAGAACCTTCTGACACAGAAAAGGCCAAACCTCCTTATAAAACATGCATGTATTTCAAGAGGAGCAAGAAGAGGCCTGTAGCTGACAAAAAAGTGCATTGTCCATTTAAAAGTGTGGTTTTAATTCTGCCTCCCAAAATTGCTATACCCTGTGAAGGAGTGAGAGGCTCTTCTACACTGAGATGATTTAAAAAAATGTGTCTTCCTGCTTCTTAATTTGCATGACCAGTAAAGAGATCTGTTCTCAAACAGGATAACAAAACAGGACCTATGCCTCACGATGGAAGTGGTTTTACAGATCCTTGGGATACCTTAAGCTATGCAGAACAGGACATACATCCTTGTTCGAGCCACTGCAGGGGGCGTGTTGGGGAAGGAAGGGAGGAAAATTACCCACCTCGGGGTTGCGTTTGTGGGGTGGGGTTTTTTTAAGAAAATACAAGGGAAAGGCTAAAAAAAAAAGTAAAACAATTGAATAAAGTTATAACGACAGCATTTCTGGTTTGCACATGGAATTGTTTCTCGCCACTGCAAAACACATCCTGGCAAACCAGACACTCTTAGTAAAAGTAAGAAATGAGGAGCCGGTACTCTGCATACCTGACGAATGTGCATAGTTAGCTGGTGCTGTGTAGTGCAAATCTTTTCACACAGAGGACAGGTATAGGAAGACTTCTCTTCTTTTGTTTCCTATGAACAAAACAAAACAAAACAATCAGAAGGAATATCAATATAAAAGAACTTGAAAGCTATTACTGCTGGGGATGGAAAAAATATAATCCCTCCTAAGCACAAAAGGCCACTGCTAACAGAACAACTTGCACATATACATTTATAATCCTGACAAATCCCTCAGGGAAGTTTCAGAAACTTCTGAATTTATAAATAGGGGCCATTTCAACTATCGCAGAAGTGCAGCAGCTGTTTTAACAGAACACAGATACTCAGTAGTATCAGTTTAGGACAGGAAGTGAAGGCAATTATTGTGACCAGCTCAAACTGCCAGGAGGAATTTAGGTGAGCAGAAAGTAATTCCTGGAACATTGCCAGCATATGTGGGCAAACACCACTAATCTTCCCAAAAGATCTTTAATAAGCACAAGTCGCTGGGACCTCAGGTTTTCCACCCCATCTCGATGGCAAGGCACTAGCTCGGTGCCCTGTTCTAGGGGCTGTATGTTCTGCTCCGTGGCTGAGTCAGAAGGAAGAGTGGCATTTACTGAATCACCCGCACCATTTCCCTTAGCATCCTGTGTTTCTCCTGGAAGCATCCCATCCAGGCACACTGGCCAGGCCCAACCCTTCTCAAGCTTGCAAGATCTGATGAGATCATAGCAAGAAAGAGGTGACAAAGCAGGAGTGTACGTGACTCAAAAAGAATACATTATGAACCCAGTTATTCTCCACCCAGGTGAGAATCAGGAGTAACCATGGTCAAACCACAAGTACAAACAATGAAGCTGACTGGAGAGCTCAGCCTGATTTAAGTATGCCCTTGAGACACTGAGCAAAGCCACCATTCTTTCAGCCAAGGATGAAATGGCACTCTTGCAGGAACCAAAGGCGTTTGCCCGCATTATCCGCAAGGATGGCTACTGCATGACATAAAGGGTATTTTCACAACCTCACTGAGAAGCTCAGGTGCAGCTTCTGCACCAAGGCCTGCATATTAAAAGGAAGATGGTCTGGCACTGAAAATCAATCCTCAATTTTCTGTAGAATGATGCAAATCTTCACCAACTAGACAGATCCACAGCCTCTTACCTACACTTCTGGTGACAAGAGAGTACAAAAAGCATCTCTACACGACTGGTGGGGAAGTATAATATTTATGCCAAAAGGATACGTTCCACCAAACCTCTTTGCTGGCTATTTTAAGTATCATTAGTAAAACCACGAAAACAAGCAAAAAAGAAAAACTGCCCTCAGTAGCTCTGTAGTTGGGAGGGAGTTGATGAGTATGAGTGTATCTGTGCATTTTCTGTCTCCACACAAATCTCTTCCCCCATCGCCACCTCAAAAGTCATCAACTCAAGAGGCAACTACTTCCAGATTGTCAGACACAAGCATTTGTGGAGAACACCGAGAATGACTAACCCAAGTCTCTGTGACAAAGTCTCTGGTATGTTAGGAGGGAAAACGCTGACACAGTGTTACAGAAAGGTTTTTTTAAGTTTCAGTAATGCAATATCCCCTCCTACATAGATTTGGGGAACCATTCTACAGAGTGTCCTATCAAAATCTAACACTGTGTTTTCAAAAACAGGGCCATGATAATTTTCTATCAACTTCAGTGACCTGTGGACATGGATGAAGAGCTATTTTCACATTTTGCCTGAAGTAAACAAAACTTGTGACTTCACTTCTAAAAGGATCGGGACTGCAATGATTAGGTTCTCCCACTCCTCCCTACTGTTTCTCTTGTACATCTTCTTCTAACTGTATTTTGGGGCTCTACGTCCTAAAGATAATCACTGCAGGCCACACACACAGGCCAAGGCTTAATGTACTATTACCCTCAAAATATTAGAAAGTAAGCAAGAAAGGATGCTGTTTTGAAGTCTGAACATCCCAAGAAAATTAAAATACATTAACCCAGTGCCCCCCCCTCCATTGTTTAAATACAAGCATATAATTCGCACACGCTCATTCCATCCTACTTATATAACTTTAATTTTACTACATGCAACCTGTCTGTGGAGCAATGTTCAGCTCCAATTATACTGCAACCCTGCTAAAGTTGGCTCAAGACAGAGAACAAACACACTGTGCCGTGAGGAAAATCCCTGCAGCTGTGCTGACAGTTTAGATGCTGTTTAATCCCCAGGGCATTTCTGTGAAATTATCAACCTGCTACTTTTTTTTTCGCCCCCTCCCCTTTAAACGAGTGCTGCAGTTCCACATGATGCATTTGATTGTTTCAAAGCCTGCTTTCCAGACTGCCTGCCCTTCGAATCAGCAAATTAACAGAAGATAGAGTAATTACTGGTTCACCTTGAAGCAAAGATCAGAAACACACTATAGCTCAGCCAGAGCTGATTAGTATTGAATCTGGGGTTTATTATTAACTAAAACCCAAACTTTCTCCAGTGGTCATACAGAGTACATGCTGCATACCGTAACACAGCTCAAGCAAATCCAGGGTAGCTACAACAGGAATCCTGTTGACTGACCCAATCCAGACGAAAAAACATTATCATCCCTACCATAAAGCACCCCAACTCACAAATTTAAAACATAGCACTCAGCTACTCCACCAAAGCCAGGCTGGTGAAAGCACACTTCCTGAACTGAAAGATAAACCTGGCAGCTTATTTGTTAGCTGCTCTCTAGCAGTCCACCTGGCAGCACTGCTCTGTGTTCAACTGATGGCAAATGCTTTCTGAGTTGTGCATTAGGTCTATTTGATTTTTTCCAGCTCAAAGAAACACCTTTCTCACTCTTCTTATTTTCTTCAAGAGCAAAGCAAATGAGAAGTTAAAAACGGATGCAGGGTGATGTGAGAACATGTTTATTAGAATATGGGTACATTAGAGCCAAGATAAAGTCAGTATTATAAAGAGAACCGCACACTTTGGGACAAAGGTTCAGAGCAAAATGTTTTGCTGCCAACTCCTGGGAAACAGCAGTCAGACCCAGAAAACTAGCTAACTGTTATTACCCTTGAAATTATAATAAGGGGCACATTCTGACCAGAATCTGAGATCTGTGCACTTTTATACACTGAAACAATTCAGTGCTTTCATTCTGCCAGACTGAATGTGGAAATTCACTGTATTAGAGGTTGTTAATCAGACTGATACCCACTTAATATTTCACATCTCACTTCTATTTTCTCAGTAATGTAGCCATTTGCCCCTCTGGTGATAACGATCTTTCGGCCTAAAACCAAATAGGCTCTTTACTATGTTTTTTCAATGTATTTGTTTATCTTTATGCTGTAAGAATCCCTCTTAATCCTGTCACATTTACTCCCAAGCTTCCTTTGATTCGATGCCCACCGAAATATCAGGTGGAATAAAGGTCACTAACGCTAATAAACTTCCCTGAAGCCAAACCACATGGTGTACCAGTGGACAGCTGTGTAACAGCACTGCCACTGAGACCAGTGTGAACTCCAGTGCCTCACCTCACATGATGAAATCAAGGAGCCAAGGCAGCCCCTAAGTGGGAACATTGCAAATAAACCCTAAAGCCAGGTGCTAGACAATACAATCCCCCCAACACAGTTGCCCATATACTGCCCAGACTCTTCATTTAAGAATGTTCATTTACAATTAATGGCTTTTAACTTCTTTCAAGCAAAAAAATCCAAGACAAGTCATACGTCTGTCAACTGGGCTGCTACTCGGCAACCTATTAATAAACTACTATAGGAACATCATGAGTCATGCCTCTCAACCTTTCCAGTCCCTGTTACATCTTGATTAATTTACAAATTCCCTGTGCTTCACCGCAAGTTCTAAAGTCAAACAGACACAGGGATTTGGGGTATTTCGTGATGTTCTGCAGCACCTTCATTGGTAGGGCCTGTCCCAGCAGGAGAAAAACATGGATATAAATAATCATAGCTTTAACTGATACGACTGTCTCCTTTCATTTGTTTAGATCAATATTGCTATCAACTGGTGCCATCAACTGGTAAATGGAAAAAAACTGATAAAAGCTACATATATTTGCTCTGAAAGATTTGTACAAAGCATTCTGCAATGTTTTTTATTAACAATGAAGTAAGGGCACCTTACACTACACACATGCGAGCTGAGCGTCCTGATGGATGTTTCATTCTAGTGCCACCTTTAACCTTAAATCACTTGGATCTTCCCCAGAGACAGCTGCATACCTCATAAGGGATCCCACACATGGCCGAACCAAGCCCCCTGCTACACCACGCTGTTCCTCTCTGAGCTATTTCTTTTCCCTTAGTTTCATGAAATGAACTGGTCCCCCAACAGATTAGGCAAATTCATGAGCCTGGAGAAAGGATGCAGTGGGGAAGAAACAGCAATTCCTAGGTGGCTTTGCCGCTGCTAGCAAGATCTGCTAGACCAGCTCACCACTGCATGACATTGGAGCTCGTGCTCAAAGGTTTTACATGTGAATCCAAGCACGTGGACCCCTTTGATTCCCAGTTTTTCAAAGTCATGTTCTAGAGAGCCACCAGAAGACACACACAGACGAGCAATGGCAGAGGCAAGAAATACCGCTGAGGGAAAAAAAGGCAAAACAATCAAAGAAACTTAATCATGTCTTACCACTTTCCAGGAAGCTGCTTGTCTCCCCTTTGCCCTCCCTGCATTTGAGTTTACATACCTGGTTCCTCCTGCCAATCCGATTTGGTGCAGGAGACTTCGAGGGGGATTTGACGTTTTGAGAGTTCCCGCCATTTTCAGCAATCTTCCCCACATTCATCACTGCTGACATCATGGCATCAATGGAGGACAAGTCTGCTCCGTCCAAACTGTTTGGTGAACTTGGTGATACCTTGTAGCTGTTTAAGCTTTCCAGCTGCTTCTCTGGAATTAAAAACAGAAACACACATAGGAGTTGCTAGGCCATCTAAAAAAAAAAAAAAAAAAATCAAATGCCACAGTATTTTCAGCTGCCCGTAACTTGCATCACACTCTGCTGGATCATCACAGAGCACAGGCAACAGCCCACAGTAACTGGAGTTCTTGTAACAGGAAAAGTTTCTCACATTGGAATACATAGGATAAGGTGTACACTTCTTCTCATAGGACGTTCACGTTATCCTCTTTTTCAACGTTCATTCAGTATGGGGCTTATAGAATGATTTACCTTAAACTCTCTTGCTGTAAAATGGTATTCATGGTACCTTGTGATCACCATGAACTAGTAGAGCAGTACTGATGAATGCACGCTCTGGCAAGCACAATCATTCAAGCAAGCACGTGTTTTGAGCAGAACTGCACAATTAAGGCATTAGTAACACAGAGTAGGGTTCTCTTTCTAGCATAGCTTAAGCCAGCTTTGTACATGAAATAAGCTAAATTAGCAAAAATCCAACCAAAACAAAACCCCAAAAAAACCAAATGCCCCCCTCAAGTGCCTCTTTACTGCCACAGCTGGCATATATGTCATTTTTTTTCTTTTTGGACTATCAAGCCATATTAGTCCATGGTGCATGTGTTACATCCACGACTAATGCCACAGCTCAAGCTATTCAGATTCAGACTCTCCAACACATTCTGCACGTATAATGCTCCTGTCTCAGATACCAAATTCAAAACACACTAAAATCCCATCTCTGGTTTCTCAACATACCATGTCAAACACACAGGTAAGGCCTTCCACTTTCCTCTTTACGAATCTGAAAAGGAAAATACTTCCAAACTAAACACTCCTTTCCCCCAAAAGAAGTCTCCCAAACAAACACGAACACTGTGCAAGTCTATTGCTCTGTCACCTCTGGTGGAGAGCACAGAATCTTAATGTGTGTTATGAGAAAGTCACTGTAACACAAGAGGATGTGAGGATGAACAAGGAGGAACAAGTCTGCGAACATTTGATCTCTGCATAATGTTGCCTTTGGAAGATAAGTTTGAGCATTATAAACAGGTGGTTTTTTGAGGCTAAGTAATGTGGTGCCAAGTTTCTGGAAGCCAAGAAAGTCTTAGTTTGGAAGCCTGCAGTGGTAGTCAAGAATTTATGTGCCCATGCTTCTGCTCAATATATTTTATACTTTTCAGACAGATAAAGGTTAGGGATGGGCAAAGAAATGTATGCACCAGTGTTTCTTCTCATAGATAAGGGGTATGGATGGGTAAGAAATGTTTCTACAAGCTTTAATCAATGTCCTGATTTACAGAGTCACACAGAACTAGTCAAACCAGTTACCTTCATTTTTATCCCCTGATTGACTGTGGCTCTCTTCTTGGTTGCTGGTCTCCTCACTTAGTGTTGTATGTATAGTAGCGTCTGGCTCTTCAGCCTCTTCTTCAGCAGCACCCTCTAGCACTACATGAGGGAGAAGGGAAAAAAGAGAATGAAACTAAGTTTTTCTGGAAGCCATTTTAGCAAAACAAGACTACAGCCCTTTAGTTTGAGGGTTTCCCTGACTGGTACGTAGGTCTGACGACAGAAGCACACCAACAGTGCCAGCACAGCCAAGCACCCACTCCCACATGTGACTGAGCACTGGGGTGGGAGAAGCTGCTGCCTCTGCCAGTGGCAAAACCTGGGCAAAGACCCTTACCAGCTTGGTCCCCAATATTCAGCCAGCAAAACAAGCAGGAGGGAGAGAAGAAGAGAGCAAGCTAGCATATCACTGATGGTTGTGACATTTGATTAAGAAGCTGGAAGAGTACTCTGCAGCTAGATAATTTAAGTAATTCAGTTTCACACATGCACTCCTCCCCTCTTCTCTTCTTGGAGGATTACCATTTACTTCAATACACGAATTCATGGTGACCTTTTTCTTCCTTCTAGCAGTGGTGAAATGACTACTGAGGTTTCTGGGACCACTTGGCACATTCCTCACACCCACTGCCCAAGGTTTCCAGATGAGCTGAAGACATAAGCAACCATCATATGTGCTGACAGAATTTCTCCACGCTGCTTTCTGAAACCACAAACTTATCATGCTATCATTGGGGTTTCAGGAAGGATGCCTGTTCTGGCTGGAGAATGACAGGGCAGTTAAACATAATTTTTAGAGGTGACAGGGAATGATTGACGCATGAGAAAGAGAGGAGCTCTCTGCCCGCAGCACCCATAGCGATAGCTTCTGGAAAAGGTTATTTGTAATATGCAAAACTGATACATTTTTAATGGCAAAACACATCTTACAAGCAAAATAGTTATTTCATTATGGAAATGAAAACACACTGTGGACATTTCATCATCTCAGATTTCCAAATCGCATCCAGCAAACAATATAGGTTTTCCTTTTTTCAGAAAGCAGAGACCATCAGCCTCAAACTGTCACTAGCTCTTCCTTCTAAAAAGAAATTCTCAAGGATGACATGCAAATCAATCAAGTAACACATCCTCAAATGCTGTTTAAACAGCATTTGCAAACAATACATGACTATGTTATCCCAACTACTGTCATTTTAGAGTACACAAAAAAAGGCAGACAAAGAGAAAGGGCCCAGCTTGTGTCAAGCAGTTCCTCATTTCACGGAATGCCAGACAAAGCAGCAGATTGAAGCTTCCTACGTTTAACCGCCGACCCTCTTCGGAGTGGCACACAGATGATTTGACATAGCGAGCCAGTGCAGTCTAGAGACAAAACCTAGGACCTCAGTAAGCCCCATGTCTAAGGCTCTGGGTAACACCAACTTCTTAACAAACACCGTTTTCAATTTGTGTCTTCAAAGACAGACAAAATGACTACTTTTATGGTATCCTGAACAACTCAAGGTAACTCTTCCCTAGTAATTTTTGTTCTTTTCTGCTAAGAAAACACTAGTGGTCCCTGCAACACAGGGATTTCTTGCTTCAAGGTGAGGCCAAACACCCATCCTTCTGTATGTTCTCCAGTAATTATGGGATCTGTTTATTTGTTTGTCTTTATTTTGTTTGTCCTTGGCTGTTGTAACTTTGCTGTTAATCTGTTTGCTTTTAAAAAAGGTCCATCTCATTCAAGAGCAACAGTCTTTTTTTTTTTCTGTCTCGATCTTTTTTTAACCACTTATGTGGTAACTGACTTAATTTTGAATGGAATAAGCTCAAAAGAGTTATTTTCGAGACAGCCTAAATCTTCTAAAAGTTGTTTGCTATCTCTGTTTAGTACCACCAAAAATAAGGACCAGTTTAAACCATTAGGACAGACTTCTGTTAAAACAATGCAATTCAGTGCTTTAGTAAAAAAAAAAAAACAACCTAAACAAAACCCAACCAAACAGAACAACTATCCCTTCCAAAGTAGACCTATTAATTCCTTTTTCAGTCAATACCTAGGACATTAATGTCACCACTGATTCATCCTGGAAAACATCAATCTATTGTGTAACTGTGAAAACTCCTATGTTGGCCAAGGTAACTTTGAGATTGCTGAGGAGCTTCCCAGAGAACAAGACTCAGCATTCCTAGTGCTGCTTTCAGCAATAGTGAAAATGTGAAATGTTCATCACAAAGAGAAGAGGCAGGCATACATGCCCACATTAACAAGCCTACCCCCTGGTTCTGAAACACCTGCCAGCTTGCTCTCTGTTCTTCTTTCAGGAGGAAAACTATGTATTATGCTATTACAGCCTTTCACAATTTCTATGAACCAACAGCTATTTTATTTCTGAATTTAAATACCTTCTTGCTAGCACAAACAAAGATGTATAGTCACAGACCTTGTTTTTAAAACTGTCTTCCTTGTACCAAAAATTTCCTATTTTGGAAGCACTTCAAAGATCGCAACTTAATTTCTGCAAAAACAGGTATTATTGTTGCATGCTTTTATTTACATGTTTATTTTCCACTCTCTTGCATGAAGCAAAAATGCACCACTGAAACAAAGACAACTGCACGAGCAGCACACACTGATTTCAGAAGCATAACTTTCTATTTGCAATAGGATATAGAAACAATAAGAATACTGGGCCAAATCACTCCTTCCTGTGGGAAAACCCGTGGCAGAGCGCCTTTAGGCAGGAACATA